TCTCTCTTCTCTCTCTTCTCTCTCTCTCTCTCTCTCTCTCTCTCTCTCTCTCTCTCTCTCTCTTCTCTCTCTCTCTCTCTCTCTCTCTCTCTCTCTCTCTCTGTCTTGAGTTTAGAGGAAAAAATAATAATTTCCCTGCCTTTTTTCCCTCTTTCTGTGGCTGTAAGGGGAAAAAATAATGTTTTCCATGGCTAGACTTCTTTTTTTCCTTCTCTCTCCTTGCCTTGAGGAGGAGGAGGAAGGGAAAGGAGAAGGAGGATAAGAAGAGGAGGAAGGAGGGAAGGGAAAGGGAGAGGAGGAGGAGGAGGAGGAAGGGAAAGGAGGAGGAGGAGGAGGATCAGAAGAATAAAAAAGAAGAAGAAGGAGGAGGAGGAGGAAGAGGGGGGGAGTCTAGTGGAAAAAATAATAATTTCCAAGGGTTCTTGTTTTTTATTTTGATAAGGGATACCATAAGGTTATCTTGGTGTCGATCACTCTTTGACCTACTATCAGTTATTTCTAGTCTCTGATTCATCCTTTTCCTACATAGCCCACTCTGGAGGTCTAAGTCACCCTACAACCCACTCCAAAAGCCTACAAAAGCCCACCCTGGACATCTGATCCACTTCACAGCCCACCCTGCATCCTATTCAAACCCACCCTGTAATTTCTAGCTCTCCCTACAACCCACTTTGCAACATCCAACCACCCGGGACAATTACCTCCCCTACGACCCACCCTCTACCCACACCAACCCACCTGGGACAATTACCTCCCCCTTCGACCCACCTGGGACAATTACCCTCCCCTTCAACCCACCTGCTAACCCACCTGGGACAATTACCTCCCATTCGACCCACCCTACCCACACCACCAACCCACCCCTCCACCCCACGCCAACCCACCCCTGCAACAACCAGCTCCACCAGCCCACCTTCGGTATACTACCCACCCTGCCGCCCATCCCGACCCACCCTGCCGCCCATCCCGACCCACTCTAGCCCACCCTAACTTGCTCCTCTGACGCACAGAGTTCCGAACCGCAACAGGTGACCTTTGACCTCGACCAGATTCCTGCACCTTAATGCATGATCAGAGGGAGAGGCGAGAGGGAGGAGGAGGAGGAGGAGGAGGAGGAAGAAGACGAGGAGGAGGAGGAGGAGGAGGAAGGCGAGGAGGAGGGGGAGAAGGAGGCGAGAGGCAAGAGGAGGAGGAGGAGGAGATAGATGACGATGAAGAAGAAAAATTTAAGAAATAGAAGAGAAGGAGGCGAGAGGGAAGAGGAGATGATGAAGAAGAAAAAAGAAGCAAACGAGAAGAAATAGATGAGAAGGAGGGAAGAGGAGGAGGAGTAGATAATGATGAAGAAGAAGAAAAAAAAGCAAACGAGAAGAAATAGAAGGGAAGGAGGAGTGGCGAGAGGGAAGAGGAGGAGGAGGAGGAGGAGGTAGAAAGATGAAGAAGAAAAAAAATAGAAGAAAATAGAAGAAATAGAAGAGAAGGAGGTGGGATAAGGAAGAGGAGGAGGAAGTAGAAGAAGAAGAAGAGGAAAGACGGAAGAAATGGAAGAGAAGGCGGGGAAGGAAAGAGAGAGAGAGGACGAGGAGGAGAGAGAAAGAGAGAGAGAAGAAAAATAGAGCAAGAAAATAAAGAAAGATGAAAAAAGAAAACAAGAAATAGGAGAAGGAAAGGAAGAGGAATAAGAAGAGAAAGAGATATGGGCGCGAAGAGGCGGAGAGGCGAGGAGACAGAGAGATTGCATGGGGGTGTGTGTCGGCCGCCCGTGTATTGTTGCATGTATGATGCAGGATGGAGAGATTGCATGAGACAATGAGGAGAAGACCGGGTTTAGGCGAAGTCAGGAAGAAGATGGACGGGGGGGGAGGGGAAGGAGGAGGAAGAAGGAGGGGGAGGGGAGGGGAATGGGAGAGGAGAAGGAAGGCGGGAAGGAGGGGAGGGGAGGGGGAGGATCCAGGAAGGACAGGTGGGGAGAGGGAGGGAAGGAGGGGTTGGGGTGGAGGAAGGAAAGGAGGGGAAGGAGTGGATAGGGGGAGGGGGGAGGATCCAAGGAAGGAGGTGGGGAGGGGGAGGCGGAGGAGGTGGCGGAGGTAGAGGGGGGCAGGAAGAAGAGGGGGGAGCGAGGAGGAAGGAAGTAAGGAAGAGAGGGGAGAGAGGTGAGGGGATGGCAGGGAGGAAACTAGTAAGGAGAAAGGGGGTGGGACGGGGGAGGGTAAGAGGGGGAGGATCCAGGAAGGAGGGGGAACAGGGGGAGGTGAGATGGGGAAGACTATGAAAGGAGGTGGGGAGAGGGGGAGGCAGGGGAGAGATCCAGGGATGAGGTGGAAGGAGAGGGGAATGGGGCAGAGAAGGAAGGACGGAGGATTGGAGCGAGGGGGACGAGGGATGGGCGGAACTAGGAAGCGAGGGGAGCGGGAGGGTGAGGGAAAGTCACGGAACGCCGGTGAGGAGGAAGGACGGTGGGAGGAGAGAAGGAAGTGTCAGGAAGGGGAGGGGATGGGGGGAGGACGGACAGGGAGGAAGGAGCGAGGGAAGGGGAGGGGATGGGATTGAGGAGGCAAAGGTAAGGAGGGGGAAGGGGGGAGGGATGGGCGGATCCAGGAACAGAAGGGGACGGGGGGGGAGGGGACAGGGAGGTGGCGGATCTTAGGAAGGACGGTGGGGCAGTGCAGATGAGGGGCAGGAGAGAGGCGGTTTTTGACTCCAGGGAAGGAGGAGGAAGAGAAGGGAGAGGTGGCGGAGGAAGGAGGAGGGGAGTGGATGGGGAGGAGATCCAGAAGGATGGTGGGGGAGGGGGGGAGGGGATGGGAGGGGTCTAGGAAGGAGTAGCGGTTGGGAGATGGGGGGACCAGGAGGCGGGGAGGAGGGAGGAGGAAGGAGGAAGGAAGGGGGATGGTGGGGACCGAGCGAGGTGGGGAGGGGATCTTAGAAGGGGGGGGGAGGGGATGGGGAGGATCCAGGAGGGCAGGTGGGGGGGAGGGTCAGGGTGGTGGGATCCCAGGAAGGGGTGGGGAGGGCGAGGGGATGGTGGGCAGGAGGAGGTGGGGGTGGAGAGGGGGAAGATCCGGAAGGAGGAAGGGGGGGGGGGGCAGAGCAGCGTGGGGATGGAGGGGTAGAAGCGGGTTGGCGGGGCAGGAAAGGGAGCGTGTGGGAGGGTAGGGGGGAGGGGAAATAGAAGGAGGTGGGAGGGAGAAGGGGAGAGGATCCAGATAGGAAGGGGATGCGGTGAGAAGGAAGAATATAAGAAGAAGAGGAGGAGGAGGGGGAGGAATAGGGGAAAGAAAGAACAAAAAGGAGGAGGAGTATAGAAGAAGAACAGCACACAAAGAAGGAGGATAAGAAGAAAAAAGAAGAAGGAGGGAGCGAGGACCAGGGATAAACGAAAAAAGGAGGAGGGGAGGGACGGGGGCGAGGGGCCAATGCGAAGGGTGTAGTACTGCATGCTGCAAACGGAGTTCTGTGCATGGGAGGTTTCCTAATTGTTTACTGCGCGTCAGCCAAGCTCGACTCCATTGCGCTACTTAATTTTATATCTGTTGATTTTATTTATGCTTTTTCTTGCGTTTGTTTATTCTATATCGGTTCATTTATTTATTTGTTTTGATTATATTGATTTCCAGATATAAGTTTTTCACTTTGTTACTCTACTATATTTTGTATATTTCTGTATTTCTGGTGGGTGGGGGTGTTGTTTATTATATTTGTTGTGTGGTTTGTGTCCTCTTCGGCCTCTATTTATTATCATTTTATGGTAGGTATAGTGTATTTTAGTCGCTCGATTAATTTAAGATCATTCCTCGGGTAGTGGATATTCATATATTTTTATATGTCGTGTTTAATTCCACAGTGAATAAATGCTGACGTTGCAGTTAAAATTGGACTTGAGCAACTTTAAAAAACAACGACATTTTAATTTACACAACACATTAATTAACCAGTACACTATAATCGCGGGAAAAATTTTCGAAAGTAGTATTAAAGACGCGTTATTAACCTTATAAAATTGATAGCGAAAGATTTGCGGCAAGAATGTTCGATAATTGCGGTTCTTGCTTGTTTACGCGTGATTCGCAAGGCAGGTGTTCGCAAACTAACGATAATAACAATACTAACTCATAACAATTAAATAACTTTTGGGATTAATGGCTATTAAACTAAATAACGTGCTATGTTCTTCATATAAACATGACAGGTGAATCACTAGATTTTTTTTTTAATAATAAAGTTGATGTTATAATTGGATGACTTGAAGATGAGACTAACTTGCATGTATTTTTTTAATGTTTTCTTTAAGTGTCTCCTTTTTTTGGGTGATTTCTTGGCATGAATGGTTTAATTTTCTTACAGTTTTTTATTTTTCATTTTATATATGATTAATATGACATGAATTTTCTAATTTTAGTGATTATTCCTCTCTACAGTAGAGTAGAATTTGTGAAAATAATTTTCTGTTCATTCCAACATTTTAATTTCTATGCTTGCCGGATTTCAAGATCTCTCCTTTTTTCCCAATAGCAATCTGTCACTGTAGACTTCAATAATATTGTAGTTTGATCATGGAGATAAAAAGAAGGGGTCACCTCTTGAGTGACCTCTTTGGGGTCACCTCTGGAGTGACCTTTTTTGGGGGGGATCTCTGGAGTGACCTTTTTGGGGTTATTTCTGGAGTGACCTTTTTGGGGGTTATCTCTGGAGTGACCTTTTTTGGGGTCATTTCTAGAGTGACCTTTTTTGGGGTCTTCTCTAGAGTGACCTTTTTTGGGGTCATCTCTGGAGTGACGTTTATCGGGGCCATCTTTAGAGTGACCTCTCTTGAGGTCATCTCTGGAGTAACCTTCTTAGGGGGTCATTTCTAGAGTAACCTTTCTTGAGGTCATCTCTGGAGTGACCTTTTTAAGGGTCATGTTTGGAGTGACTGTTTCTTTCTTGAGATCATCTCTAGAGTGACCTTTCTTGAGGTCATCTCTGGAGTGACCTTTCTTGAGGTCATCTCTGGAGTAACCTTTCTTGAGGTCATATCTGGTGTGACCTTCTTTAGGGGTCACCTCTCGACCGACCCCTCCCCTCCAGCCTTCGCCACCCGTAGCCCGGTCTCTCAACTAACCCACTAACCAGCAGATCGAGGCCAAGGAGGCGCCCGCCAGCCTCTTTGCCCGCAGCCCGCCTCGCCTCCCCGCGGGTCGCTCGGCCACCCTCGGTCGCGGCGTGGGCGGGGGCTCCGACCTGACCCCCGCGATGGGCGTGCCGGCGAAGGGCAGCACCTTGCCGCGGTCAACTCGCTTGCCATCTCTGCTCGACCTGAGGCCGCCCGCGCACACGCACACGCATCACGCCCACGCGCCGCCTCACGCCCACGGGGTAGGGCGCGAGTCTTCGGTGTGGAGCGGTCAGGGGGGGTAGGGGGGGGAAGGGGGGGGAGGGGGGGCGCCGATGGATGACCGGGGGTTCAAAATGATGAGTGTGGTTCCGGGATTTCCGTGTAGAGGCTTTTAATCGATTTTCCGCATCGTGGCGCTTGAGGCAGGCCGGATTTTCCGTTTTGCCGGATTAACGGTGGTCACGTGATTTGTAATGCTTCTCCAAAATCTAATTGTGCATCTTCGTTATCTGTAATGAGTCGTAATTGTTCCGAATTAAAAGAACTGTTGACCATCAGTTGCCGGAAAAATCGGTATGCGTATATATATATATTAATATATATATATATATATATATATATATATATATATATATATATATATACTATATATATAATATATATATATATACATATAATATATATATATATATATATATATATATATATATATACATATATATATATATACACTATATATTATATACATACATACATATATATATATATATATATATATATAATATATAATATATATATATATAATAAATAAATATATATATTTGTATTATTCATACATACTATATATACTTAAACATATATATTGTATATATTGTATGTATATATGTATCTATATATATACATATATATGTATGTAGATAGGTTTGTATGTATATCTGGGTCCCTGTGTGTTTGTACGTATGCATTTAGTCAGTGTGCATATGCGCGATTTGTGTAAAAAGTATTTTAAAAACTGTCATACATAATTAAACGCATACATGGATAGCTTAGACTAGAAATTTATTTGTCACAAATGAGTTGTATATATAGTTTACACACACACACATTTACACACCAGCACACACACACACACACACACCACACACACACACACACACACACACACACACACACACACACACACACACACACCACACACACACACACACTCACACTCCACAACACCCCCACAGCCCACACACTCCGCCCACACCACACTCTCTCTCTCTCTCTCGCTCTCTCTCTCTCTCTCTCTCTCTCTCTCTCTCTCTCTCTCTCTCTCTCTCTCTCTCTCTCTCTCTCTCACACACACACAACACACACACACACACACACACACACCACACACACACCACACACACACACACACACCACACACACACACACACACACACACTCACACTCCACAAACACCACAGCCCACATGCACTCACGCCCACACTCTCTCTCTCTCTCTCTCTCTCTCTCTCTCTCTCTCTCTCTCTCACACACACACACACACACACACACACACACACAACACACACACACACACACCACACACACACACACACACACACACACACACACCACACACCCACACCCCAACAACACCCCCCACACAGCCCACAACACCCCCCACACCGCCCAACCGCAGATCAAAACGCCATACAGACAATCCAGACCTATTAACCCAACGACCGCCCCGCCCTCAGACCCTTCCTAACCCCCCCTCTGTACCCCCCTCCTCCCACCCCAGACCGCGAGCGTGGAAGACCGCGATCAGCTGTTGGGCGGAGACCAGCGGCAGCCACGCTTTCTCGACGGGATTGACAACCCTGCGCTGGTGGACGACGCTGCGCACATTGGTAAGGGCGTTTTTTTTTTTTTTTATCGTTATTTTTTTCTGTTTCTTCAGGTTCTTTGTATTCTTTTTGTTCTTCTTTTTTACTTGTTCTTCAGTTCTTTTCTTTTCTTTTTTCTTTTTTTTTCTTCTTGTTCTTCAGTTCTTCTTCTTCTTTTTCTTCTTCTTTTCTTTCGTCTTTCCTTTCTTCTTCTTCTTTTTCCTCTTCTTCTTCTTCTTCTTCTTCTTTTCTTCTTCTTTTCCTCTTATTTTTTCTTCGTTTTGAGATATTTATTATTTTGTATCAATTTTTATTTATCTACTATTTTTTTCAAATTCTTTTACACTTTCTGTTTTTTCTTATTTTCTGAAAGCCTCTGGTTTTATTTTCACATTGTATATGTTTCACTAGTTGGAAGTTAGATAAAAATAATGTAGTTTTTAGTTTATGCAAAGTTGGTAGAGTGTATTTTTATACATCAAAATGTTTTTATTTAATTTTTCATTGTATTGTCTCCTATAGTGTATAAACCCATTGTATTATATATATATATATATATATATATATATATATATATATATATATATATATATATATATATATATTTTTTTTTTTTTTTTTTTTTTTTTTTATAATAACATATATATATATATATATATATATATATATATATATATATAATATAATATATATATATATATATTATATATATATAAATAGCTTAAGGGAAGGCGTCATCGATCACTTTTCGTCCGGCGTTGAAATTGACATGACCCTGACCTCCTTTCGTCATGCTAATTACATGGTTGATATTAACATGTTACTATTTTTTTTTCTCTCCTGTTCGTCCTCCTCTTCCAACTCCTCTTCTGTTCTTTCTGCTCTTCCAATTACTCCTTCTTTCTTTATACTTCATCCTCCTCTTTTCTTCCCATTTTTCCCCTTTCCTTCTTCTTCCCCCCTCCCCCTTTCTTCCCCTTTCCCCCTTCCTCCTCCCTCCCTTTCCACTTCCCCCCTTCCCTCCTCCCCCTTCCCCTCTTCCCTTCCCCTCCTCCCCCTCCCCCCTTTCTTCCCCTTCCCTTTCCCCCTTCCCCCCTCCCTTCTTCCCTCCCTTCCCCCTTTCCTTCCCTCCTCCTCCCCTTCCCCCCTTTCTCCCTTTCCCCCTCCTCCTTCCCCCTTCCCCCCTTCCCCTCCTCCCTCCCCTTCCCCCCTTTCCTCCCCCCTCCCCCCCTCCCTCCTCCCTCCCCTTCCCCCTTTCCACCCCCTTCCCTCCCTCCTTTCCCCCCTCCCTCCTCCCTCCCCTTCCCCTTCCCCCCTTTCCTCCCTCCCCCCCCCCCACAGCCTAGCTACCGCGCCACCCCCGGGGAGGAGGAGTCCACGCCCCGCCCACCGGCATCCCCCCCGAGGGCACCCTGGCCGGGGTCCTGCCCTCCCACCCGCAGCCACGCCCATACGAGTCGCCCTTCCTCTCCCACCACGCCTACCGCCAGCCGCCCGCGTCCCAGCACCTGCCGCCCGCGTCCCAACACCACCCGAATCCCCCTCAGCATCACCCTGTCACGTCGACGCAACAACAACAACAACCAACAACAACAACAACAGCCTTTGACTCGGGGAGACATGGATGAGGAGTTCACAAGGACAGTACGCTGTGAGTTTTTTTTTTTTTTTTTTTTTTTTTTAGATTTTTTGGATTTAATTTGTTCTTTGGCGATATTTTCCAGTATCAAAATATAAAAAAATAAGCGATATTTTCCAGTTGGTTTGATATAATGATGAGGATTGATGAGGATATTGCTAGCGATGGATGATTGTAGTGAGGTGAATGGATGACTGATGAATATGATGGATTATATACTTTCTCTTTTTTTTATTCTTTTATTATATTAATTATTTATTATTATTATTATTATTATTATTAAAATGATTATTATTATTATTATTTTGTTCGTCATATTGATTCGCTGACTGTCGCTTCCCCCGCAGGGCATCGTGGAGATCCACCCCCCGCAGGGCCACCTCCACATGAACGGCCACCTCCCCCCCCACCACGCCTCCAACGGCCACCTCGCCAACGCGGCGTGAACGGCCACGTTCATGCGACCCTCAACGGCCACCACACCAATGGCCTCCCCGCCCAGGCGAACGGCCACGCCCCCCACGAACGCGCCACGCCCCCACGGCCACGCCCCGCACCTCGAGCAGACCAACAACCACAGTAACCACGCCGGCCACAACAACCACAGCAATAACCAGAACAACCGCACGGGCGGCCTGGTGGACGACAACCAGGCGAACGACGCCCACGAGCGCCGCGACGACGCCCGCAAGGACGACAAGTGGGGCTCGCTCACGCGCGGGCTCGCGGCCTGGAAGTACCACAACCTCAAGGAGAAGATCTCGCACAAGTTCTCCCGCGGCGACAAGCCCGACGACCGCGCCGCGGAGGCCAAGCACGGCGCGCCCACGCCCCGCGCCGGCGCCAAGAACAACGCGGAGAACGGCGGCGGCGGCCAGCAGGAGCAGGGCGCCCTCCAGCCGGGCCCGCGCGCGACAGCGGCCGCGCCCCCAAGCTCAACACGAGCTTCCGGAGGGCCATCCCCAGAGCGCGCAGAAGACCAACCTGCAGGAGACGATGGAGACGAGCCTGAGCGCGGGGGGCGCGGCGCCGCAGCCCAACGGCCTGCCCCCCCACTACCCCGCAGCCCCGGCCAGTACGCGCGCCGCAGCCGCTGGCCGCGCCGCCGCTGTCGCCGCCCTCGTACCGCGCCGGGGCCCCCACCCCCTGCCCTCCCCCCACCTGGGCCGCCAGCACCCGCACGAGCTGCTGGGCCGCGGCCTCGCCAGCAGGAGGTCGGGCTCGTACCACCACCTGGCGCAGCTCCGCCAGGACGCCCCCAGCTGGCGGCCGCACCACTACTCGGTGGACAACCTGGCGGACGCGCAAGTGCTGCCCTCCGACCACACGTACTCCGGGCCCGCCGTGACCGGGGGCGCGCAGCCGGCGGGCGGCGAGGGCGGCGGCTCCGGCGGCTCGGACTCG